GGAAGCCACTGTAAGATGGGAAAGAAACCAAAAACCCAGTCTTTAACTTTGGTTGGAGTGCAGCTGCAGGTTTTCTTTGCTTGCTTAACCACCAGAGCCTTCATGCTCCTCTTCTTCTCTTGGGGTTCCAAGAACATTCTGTGATGGAAACTGCATTTGGCATCATCTCCTTCCAGCCCCTCAGTCACTGCATGGATGTTGTTGGTTTCTGTCATTGCTGCCATCGCAAGGACTTACTAAAAACACAAAGAAGGACCACCTGCATTAAACCATAAATGAATGTACTCTGTGAGACATTTTTTAGAGAGTGAACACTATTTATGGAAAGTAAGGGCTGAAAGTGTTAGTTCAGCAGAGAGAAAGCAATTTCCAAGCAATTTGGGAAAGATCCTCCCCATCTTATCCCTGTTAATCAAGGAATGACCTTTCCTAGGAGGGAAGCTGATATCCCCTAGAATACACCTGCTGCTGGCAATGTTGTGAAATGGAAAGGAATGCAGCAGCACTGCTCCTCTGGGAGTCTTCCTTGAGAAAATCTTTATCTGCAGCCTGTTTCACCATGCAAAGACAGACACAGGGTTTATTGTAGTCCAACAGAAATTTCAATACAGTTGCTGAAAATTAACTAAAAATGGTATATTTCTAGCAATGTACAGCTTGGTCTAAATCTCTTGTGGATTATTTTTTTTTAATGCAGTGATTGCACCTGCCAAATACTGTAAAGACTTGTTACCTGAGAAGTGGCATTATTTCAGCCAGGGACACACTGGGGGGAAAAGAAGTGTTCTTCACGCCTTTTAAAAGCTGGTTTTTCAAGTAAATTACAACCGACTAAAACAATACACACCAGTGGAAAACCTATTAATGGGCACAAGGAAAGATAAGTGGAATACTACCACTAGAACTTGTGCTCTGTCCAAGCTGTCCACAAACAGTAAAACAGGGTGTTTATACCAAAGCACATTTAATACTGGAAACATACTGCCTGACTGTAAAAGAGCACAGTCTTGATAAGATAAGCTATAATGAAAGTTGACAGTAACAAGTGATTGTCAGCATTTATACAGCACTCCCATTTCCAGAAAGCATCCAGAATCCTCCAGAAAACTCTTTCAGCCACAATACCTGCTACAACCAGCATTCTCAGGTTGATAACTTTCAGCCAGAAACCCACTGGCCTGGTGCTACAGTGGAGTCAAGGAGAGAGACAGCAAGAGAACCCTGAAAAGTCTCACTGCCAGGCTTCCCTTTCGACCACTGCAGTCCCAGAGTGCCAGTAACAACCTACCTCTTACGTGCTACTTATGTCTCCTCTGTGCAGCGCAAACATCAAACTACTGTCTGTGCAGTGTTTACCACTGAATTAATTACCAAATTGCTACTGGAAGTAACAGTGCTGAGGATGCCACAGAGTCTGCCTCGAAATATGTTCACTTAATCACTATTTCACAACTAGACATAAAATCACAGAATTGTAGAGTCATTCAGGTTGGAAGATCCCTCTAAGATCACTGAGTCCAACCATTCCTCCAGCACTGCCAAGTCCCAACAACCCATGTCCCCAAGTACTACATCTACACATCTTTTAAATCTCTCCAGGGATGGTGACTCCACCAGTTCCCTGGGCAGCCTGTGCTAGGGCTGGACAACCCTCTCAGTGAAGAAATTTTTCCTAACACTCACTGCTACTGTCACTTCAGTGAGTCTCTCAAAAACATGGGAGGGGAGAAATGACAGAAGTGAATTTGTGTGGTGCTTAAGCTAACTTCCCTTGTCTAATGCTTTCCAATTCAGTATCTTAAATGTGTTTTAGAATAATCAGGGGCTCAGAAGAGCCATGTGAAGAATCAGGATCTTTACAAGGAGGAAACATGCACTGCAAGACATTACGTGCTCAAAATGACACAATGATCACGCTTGGAGGAGATCCCCCCCCTACCTTTCAGGTATCTAATCTCACCCACCTTTACAGGACTCCAGAGTGTGCTCAGGGATAATTTACAGCACTCACAAAACTGCCCCCAAATACCACACAGTGAGAATGAAGTATTACAAAAGCCTGTGTCTGCTCTACTCTGCTTAAACACATTCCAGAGTTGTATTTGCTCAAGAAGTTTTATTCATTTTACAAGCACAGACTTACAAATCAAAAAGCTTTTCACTCACTCAAAGCTCAGCAAATCAATACTGTAAAAGTTGAGGGGAAAAAAAAATCACCTCACACTACCTTTTATGTGTAGCAAATTATTTGGATGAGTTTGATTTCTAGATTTTAGTGATGAAAATCCTCCTGATTGCACTCTCCCTCATGCAGGACTTGTAGACAGCTCTTTTAAACCTGGGGTTTTCTAATGTGCCAGGGAACTCCAACACAAAACCCAGACAGCTCGGATTAGTTCTGCTGTAAAACATTTGTGTGGTAGATGATGCCTGGGTTTTGGTCATGTCCAGAAAGCAGAGAAATGTTCTAAGTAAAAATCTCTTTGGCTACGAACCTCTGAGCATATACTGAGTCTTTGTGTTGACTTGCATGACGGCTTTCTCTACGTGGCATGAAAAGGGCCTTTCATCACACAGTCCCTGCCTCTCCTCATGTCAGGATAAAAGGAAATGACACAATTTCTAACCCCCCTTTTCACCCTCAGTGTTGCTCTGTGTTATTTTTATAACCGTTAGCCCAAGCTTGCCTAAGAAAACTGGATTTTATTCCTAAACATAAAAAAAAAAAATAGAAAACCCCATTAGTTTAATGGATAGGACACTGAAGGATATTCTGTATATTTAGATGGGAAAAGGAGCCACTGTGTTTTTTATTTTGAAAGCTGCTATTTATGTACAACTTCATATGCCTAGAATTCACTTTTATCAGTTCCTTTTGGCTTGAGTAAGGTCTTCAGGGTGTGTCTGTTTGCCACAAACTTTACTCAAGATAAAAAGAAAAAGACTACAACACAGAACTGAGGGATTTTCCAGTCTCTCTCTGTTATAAGTGACTGCCAGTCACTTATCAGTGACTAAAGATATGGGGAGGTTCTGCAGTTCTGGAGATCTGATGACTTTTACAGACTCTTTCTGGAGCCCATCTGGGCCTTTCTTTCTGATCCCATGACATAGCAGAGGTGAGCTACCACCTGCCTGGCATCTGTCTTTGGGGGAACACAACCTGCAGCACAGGGCTGGCTTCCACATTCCTCTGTCACAGATCACAGTCACTTGACAGTAAGGGAAAAATTGATTGTGAAGCTCATTCACCTACTGAAATAATGTACTACAAGCTTAAACTGAAGATGTGAGCATCTAAGAGTAGAAACTAAATCAAAGGTTAATCAGAAGTATTCCTTCTCAGTTTTCCAGATTATTTTTCTACATTTCATGTGCATGAGTTGACACTGTATGTGATCACTACCCACTCTCATGTACCTGTTCTGCTAGACATGAAAAGTTAAAAATGAATGTATAAACACACGATCTAAAGAGACATGAACAATTCCTGAAGAGCTGTAAAGGAGAAGCAGGTGAATCAGAAATCAATGAACTGAACCAGAGCTGGGCTACTACTATGGGTCCTTTGAAAATCTCCCCCTAAGAGTATAAAAGGAGAGCATATCACAATATTTTGACAAGTAAATCTCTGACCTTACTTTTGTTGGACAACAGCCTTTTTCAAATAATGTCTTAACTATTGTGGAGCAACAAGGAAATTCAATATTGCCATGATAACACTGAGATAAGCACTGGAACAGCACTGTGTGCACCTTGGAATTTGAAAAAATACTTAACATCCTCCAACAAAATATTCAAGCCACGAACATTTACTTCAACAAAGGTCTTAAAATAACGTGAATACCAAAAAAAGACATACCATGTTTAAGCAATACATTTGGGAGCAGAACGACCTTACTTTTGGCACAATAACCACCAGCTGTTCAATCATGCGGGAAAACCTGCAAAGCCCGACAACAAAACCTCGCTTGTGTGAAATATGTAATCTCCTCCTACTTCAAATGTCGGTTCTCCCGAGCAGCAGCAGCGAAGCTGCTCACCAGCATCTCTGGGGAAGATCCCACGGAATCGGCAGCCCCGCTGGCAGCCAGCCTTTCCAGAAGGTCATCTCACCTCCGAGAGCAGCTTGTACGAGTGTGTTGGCTGCTCTGCCCTGCCCTGTGTGAAGCAGATCCCTCCTGCAGACCAGCCACAGCCTCGCACAGTGCTCCAGCAGGTTCCATCCGAACCGGATTTTTTACGGAGACTTTGCTAAGAAGTACTTCCACCAAGTCAGGGCCCTCCTCCCGCCCTTACCGTTGGCAAGCAGAGGTGAAGCACTGAAGAGCTGCTGTGTTGGGCGGTGAGGAGGATGGGCGGTGGGAGAGCTGCCCAAAGGTATTTCCTGGGGCAGTGGCCGCCAGCTCAGCTGCCCACCACGGCCCCAGCCCAGCTCCATCCGCAGGGCAGCAGGGAGAGAGCCCGTCCGGCTCCCGGCGGAAACCCACGCACTGGGATCGTGCTGGGTAACGGCGTGCTGACAAGAATGCTGTTTGTTGAGCTGGCTGGGGTTTTTTTATGTTAACAAAACCCTGCAAGAAGAAGAGACACCAAGAAGAACCCCACACGCTGTTTACACTCCTGAAACTGCGAAGTTTTGCTGAGAGCTCGTGTGTCGCTCTGGGAGCCAACCAACCAGCAACTTACGCTGCCGGGAGGGCGAAAGGGAAGTAAGACACAGCAGCATTTTAGTTTGTAAAGCAACATTCACTTTCACCCGCAGGGTCCCGAATACAACATTCACTTTCACTGCCTTCACATCCAGCCCCTCCGCTCCCGCCTCGGCAGGAGCTCTCGCTATGGACCCGCGGCTTCCATCTGCCGCTCTCCTCCTCTTACCCTGAGGAGCCGCTCCCAGGGGGGCTGTGAGCAGCAGCCGAGGAGGGTCCGCAGCCGGACGCCGCTGCCGCCCCGACCCCCTGCCCGGCCCGGGCCGCCTCCCCTCCCTCGCCACTCACCGCGGGGCCGCCGGCGGTTCCTGCAGACCTCGGGCGGGTGGGACCGACGGACAGACGGACAGACGGACCGACGGACGGTCGGACCGAGCGCGGCGGCTGCCGGCGGCACCGCCCCGCGAGGGGCCGGGAGCGGCGGGCAGGGAGGACGGGCAGGGCCGCGCCCCTCAGCCCGCCCGCCCTGCCCCGCTGCCGAATGGATGCCGCGTGTGGTCCGAGTTAGGAGGGGCCCGCGGGATGGCTGGTGCAGAGAGTGGCTCCCCGGTTCTGTTCCTGTTCCTGTAGCCGGGGAAAAGACCCGCCCTGCAGCGAGGAACCCGCTCCGTTGTTGAGGAACCCACGTTTCAGGCGGGGAAGTCACGCTTCTAAGTCGAAAGATTGATTAGGGTTGGTAACGCGAGATAAAAGTGAGCTTAAACTTTCCGCAGATAGGGAAACTGCAACAGTTTCTGACTGAGGACAGGGCCCCTTTTTCCTCTGAGGTACCACAAGGATTCATAAAAAATTAGTCTTTCAAAATCCCTCCGTGATGATTGTTTTGGTGTCCGGGTGTGTCTGGGAGGTAATGCCAGCTGGACGGACAGAAGATCCCTGACAATGTCGGTATTAAAAACACCAGGTTTTTGTTCAGTACTCTGATTTTATCTCTAGGCTGGAGGTCAAGGCTGGAGGGGCCATGCCCAGCCTTGTCTGCCTTTCCTTCACCATTTGCAGAGAAAAGCAGACATTTGATCTGAAATCAAACATTGCGCAATATTTGCATTCCAGGTGGAACCTTGAGCTGTCAAAACTGAACATGAATGTATTTTAGCATATGCAAACCTGTAGTGTCCCTCAAGGTCTTTCACTGTCCCTGCTGGGGTGAAGAGCTTCTGCTTGGGATGCGTCATGCAAATAACTGTGTCTGAAGGCAGCAGAACCACAAGCAACCAGAAGGAATATCATCTCTTCCTCCCCAAGGTGTTTGGACAAGCATAAAAATTTACTAATCCAGACCACATATGGCACAGGCGGTTTTGCTTCTGCATCGCATGCCTTTGATTGGGCAGGATGGGCACAGGCAAAAGCTGCTGCCTTAGAGCCAAGATCAGCATTGCTGCTGCTTAGTTTTGTTGCAGTTCCTGTTGTGCTCTCAACTTTAGGACAAAATCAATTGCCACTGACTTTTGCAAACTGAATTACTTTAATAACATGCTGCCAACACAGTATTTGATACAGCCGAGCAGAAATGAGCAACTTAATAGTATTTCCATCATGGTTAACAGAACAAATAAGAGAGAAGCTCTTGTAGTAAGAGGCAGTGACATACCCCACAGAGGCCATCACAGCAACCCACAATCCCTTTTCTGATATGACACCTTAACAACCCTACCCCTACACC